GCTATTGGGAATCCTGAGCTTCAGCAAGCACTTCGCGCCCTGCTTTGATGTGATCAGCATTGCAAATAATTGAAACTGGAAGTGTTCCCTTCTGAAGGAGACTTGCTTTCCCCATGTGCTGTAGCCTATAATTGTTGTCGCCTCCAACACCAAGAGATGCTTACATACAGCAAGCCTGGAGAGATAGAAAGACATTGTTGTTGAGAGTTTCACGCTTAGTCTTATCAAATGCCATTTCAACATTTTCAATCAAATGATCAATATCTTTGGACTGTTTCTTGTACTGGAGGCTTTGGATTGAATTAAAGAATCCAAGATCAAGCACATTCATATCTGGTGGACTATTTGGTAGCTGGGTAACAACACAAATCTTCCAGCCTGCTGCATCTGCTGCTGCTTTCTTGCGAATATCAGTTCTGATACTCACCAGCTTGTGAGGCTTCACATTGTCCTCTTGAATAATAATCTCATCAGGAGGTGGACTGCCATCAGCTTTTTTTGGCCACTTTTCATAGATTCTGGGCAAAACTTTGTCAAGCAACATTTGCTTGGGTGGTGTATACTTCACCACCATTAACATTCTGTGGTTTGGTCACTAGCGTTCCTTTGGGGCGGTTCACTGAGGTTCTTTTTGCTGGTTCTTTGACCAAAAAAGGCCAAATCCCAAGTTTACTGTCAAACCATGCATTCCTTGTTGAATCAAACTGAGGGCTTGCCATTGCACAAAGAAACATCACCTTCATCATATGGTTCTTTGACTTTGATGTGGACTTGGGCTAATCTTCCTCTGGTAGTAGCAGATAAGTCGTCTGCTTAGTCCGCTTCAAGTAGAACCATTTTTTGTCAACATGGATGTAATTGAACCAATCATTGAATCTGCCGTTGTTATCAATGTGACTCAATATCCATTCAACATACTTAACTTTATTCTTATCTGTTAGCAGAGGCTTGGTGGTTCTGTTGTGCTTCCTCATAGCACCTTGCTTCACAAGAGTATGCAGAGTGGACTTGGGGATTCCWGTTACAGCTGAAAGGGTTCTTAGATCACCTCTGTCTTTGTATGCAACAGCTTTGAGAATTTCTTCCAAGTTTGTTACTTCTGATGCTTTCTTCCTTCCTGTCTTGCCTTTTTTCCTTGCAGAAACATCACCAGCGGGGCATGTAATTGGATCAAAAGTCTCCTTGTACCGCTTCCAGATCCTTACAATTGTCCTGGGAGATTTATTGAAGTGCTCTGCAGTTCTTTTAAGAGCTCCCTTCACAAGCTTCCCTTCTTGTTCACCAGTTCCTTGTTGAAGAAGCATCTGTAAAACAGCACTTCACTCATTGTCGGTTAAGTTAATGCTGAGCTTCTTTCTTCCTGCTGGTGGTGGAGTGTCCGTATCCACATTGTGGCTGTGTTGTTAATTGATTTGCTTTAGAAAGAATGAATGGGGGGAAAGTGAGTGGATTAAAGTATGGAAAAATATGAAAATACTGGTTGTTGAAAGGGTTCTACTGGTCACTTAACGACCGGTCCGGTTTCTATAGAAAGCCAAGAGTGGCACATTTTTGAGGCTGTAATTCTCTTCAGTGTTGAGAACTTTCTTGCAACTGCCATTCTTGTTCAAAAGAGGTGCACCGTACTGGTCGTCATTTAAATGTTTCAAGTGTTACTACTGTTTATTTCATGTGGAAAAATAATTTTATTCACACGCATGCTCATTTTTATCTACAGTACTGATTCTACGTGTCGTACGTAAATAATGTACCATTATTTTGGAAAAAAAGAAGTAGGGCAAACTGTACCAGTATTATGGAACGGAGGTATTAGTAGAAGTACTTCGCACTGGTACAACTACTACTATTGTTCTTTGTGAACAACGTACGTAATACGAAGTACAATACAAGAATAGAGAGTAAGGGAGTATTTCACAGGATTAGCCGTGTGCCCTTTACAATGAGGCAAATCCCGAGCACCTTCGATTATTAAGAGAATGTATCTCTGGGGCATAGAACTTGGAATAAAATCATCGCTAACTTGTTTGATCATAGCTATGGATTATTTCAGTCTGTCAGTTTTTTTTTCTTTTGCGTGAATATTGTAACTAGAAACGGAAGCACGGAGTGTACAAGAAAGTTACACCTGCTCTGCGTCGGTTGTGCTAAGTCTACATTGCAAGCATAATGACGAAGAACCGTGAAAGATAGGGCCATTATTTTGTCATGTTCCAATCCATTACTTTCATTCATTTCTCTCCCTCTGTACGATATTTCTCATACCTTCTATTCTGTTCTCATCCAATAATCCCACCGGGTACCCACCCGGTATTCTTCGCGAGTGCCGCGCCCCCCTGCATATAGGGATGGGCTAGGTACGCACCAAGGGTTCCCACCGCAATAACAAAATAGGGGCCACGGAGCAACTCCTTGTAAAAGTCTTTGGGTAGGACCTGTCGCCCCTCCAGAACGGCCTGGAAGGGAACAATGGAGGTTCGTTCCTTAACGACGGTCGTCCAGAGCTCGTCCCCGAATTTGTCGCGGTAGCGCCGGTCGCCGTTCCAGCAGGCAAAGGCGTGGTGACCAACCAAGAGGGCCATGGTCAGCGCCGTGAAGGAGGTTCCGACCATGGCCAGATGGGCAGCGCTCCACATGGATTGTCCAATGAACTGTGGATGCCGGGTGATCCGAATGATACCCGTCTCCCACAGGTGCAGTGTGGGCGGTTCGACCGCGGCGACCTCCTTGAGATTGAAAACGCTGGGGTACAAGAAGAAAAAGGATAGAAAGTTGACCGTCCAGGCAACCGTGTGGGCCGTAGGGTTATGGCTCAGATCGTAGAACTGAAGACCATCGTGGGCGTGACTGATAAAGTAGGTGATCCACGAGTAGGCCAGACAGAGACTGGGAAAGGCGAAAATAACCCGCCAGGTCCTAGCGCCGACGATTTGTTCGCCGTAGGGCCGGGCCGACGCCAAACCGCTGTGGACGATTGGGAAGAGAATCCCAAAGAAGAGAGTCACCAGGTGGGGATTCCCACCCGTAAAACCCTCGATCCAATGCAGAAAGTCGTCGGAATACCCTGTGGCCGGATAGACCCAAAGGACGACGACAGCAGTCATGATCGTGGCAACAGCAGCACTGAAGGTGAACCATCCCCGTTCGCCAAGTTCTCCCCATTCTTCCTTTTGGATGTCAAAGACGCCGGCGTCTTCTCCTAAGATGGCAACATCTCCAGAATTCGGGTTGGATTTCCAATCTGATTCGATGGATTTGGTCAGAAAGGGAATCGAGGGAAGATCGTTTGTGGCGTCAAAGTTCGGTTGCGACGACGATTCGGCAGTTATTTGCGTTTTTCCTTCCTCGGTTGTGCTCATAAAGCGGGGAACCGTCCTTGGCACCGTTGTCAGTTTCTGGGAAGAAAAAGCCTCGCTGGTTGTTGTTGCCATGACCAAGACAGATGCTACTGCAGTGAGCGCCGATATCGGTGAGATGGAACACGAAACCATGATATTGAATTTTTCGACTCGATGTCCTGCAGAGTGTTCGAGCTCCAGGAATTGGAAATATTTTCTTTTATTTTGTTTGGTACCTCAACGGAGGTATGATGCGAATGATGGATCCTTTTTGTTTGATGTCGTCAACGAAGGTATTTTAGAAGTTGGCATCAATTAAGTGAAGTTTGTTTGTTCCTTCTTTTGCAACGTGCTTTCGTCATGCTTCTTCAACGAAGCTCGACGACAGGCGCGTGCGTATTCTACGTTCAATCTTGAAACCTTCCACGTGTAGAAGTCATAGAAATTGGTTGCGGCCGCCGCCGTTTTTTTTTTTTGAAGGACTGCCAAAAAAACTTACTACGGTGCAAAAACTAGGTTATTGCTACTAGAATGACTTGTTGTCACAACAATGACTGAATGTTTAAGTTAAAAATGAATAATCTATTTTTGGTCAAGGTACTAATTTATTTGCAAAAATGGTATACCAGGGTTTGTACAAATCCACACTAAAACAAGTTTGTTCTTTTAGTAAGTCCAGCAGGGCTGTAAGAGGAATTCTTCAAAGTTACTGGCTACCGCACACTAAAGTTAGTGAAGTGCAGTGTAGTGCACCATAGCCAATAATAACCATAATCTTCAATTAGGGCTTTTGCGGTGCACAGCCAGGGGAAGTCGAAAGTTGGGTGTAGGGTGTTTTGTAGGGTACTATGTATGAGTACCATGAGGATACTCCGTGCTTTTTGGTAGCATTTTTATTGTGATTTATGGTTTGCAATCTTTCATCATACTAGCATATCAGCAAACTCATCTTGTACTACCACCATCTCATTTCCGTAACTTTATATTTCTTCAGAAAACAAATGCATTCAACCTACTACTAGTATATGCTCTACATTCTTAAAAAATAATACATTTTTCTGACCCTCAAACTCCCTTATTCCAGAAGGACAATTCCAGTCCAATAATGACTATTGTTGTATTTTTTTTATTCTATTTGACTTCTGTGATTCCAAAAGTGCCATACTTACCGTCAAGTACAAGTAGTAGTAGTACACATAAGCTACTAGGGCAGGGGTCATAATTTAGAGGGGTGCGCATCGATTTTTTTGTGCATAGCGAAGTGTGAGAGAAAAAATGAGAAACTCGTCATATTCCACCTTAGGTCCAAATTTCAAAAAAGTCACACAAGGATTTTTTTCCTTTCTCATAGTACTACCAGCTAGTAGTACTACTAGCTACTATCATGGAAATTATGTTTATTTTTCTTCGTTAGTAAAATAGTACCACAAATATCAATTTAATATCCAACAAAATGGTATATTCAGAATCAGCATTAAAAACTGGACTAGACTGGCTACTCAAAAATTAAAATAGTAGTATTTTTGATAAAACTGTAACTGCTCAAAGGTTGGATAATAGTTTTACTAGTATTATGCAGTAAAAATGAGAAAGGAAAAAAATCCTTGTGTGACTTTTTGGAAATTTGGACCGAAGGTGGAATATGAGTTTCGACGCGATGCGCATCCCTCTAAATTATGACCCCTGGGCTAGGGGACGAATAATCGTACCGTACACTACCTAGTACCGTACCGTACGTCCAACTACTGTATTGTTTTAGGTGGCTCTCAATAATATATACTATACATATGATTCATATGATTCTCCTTTTCCTCTTTGTTGGCGAGAGGTGTTGAAGCACAAACTACGCAGTCGAATGAATCAAAAGAAAAATTGGTGTTGGAATTTCTCATCATTTTCAAAACAGTTGAAATTGAAAAAAACAAAAAACGCTGTCCAATCCAGTCCGAAATCGTGGTTGTACGAAACATCAGCAGTCACGGTACGTACGGTACGAGGCACACCGTACGCATGGAACCGCTTCTTTCTAGCACTAGGAATATGAATGCTGAATGCTTCTACTGCACTGTACCAGTACTTGACATTCCGAAATTTCCTGTCATCCAAACATAGTACGTAGCACTCTCGTACCAGTAGGTACCGTAATTCTTGTGCCGACCAACAGAACTCAAAACAAAGTAGCACTAGCAACAAGAGCAGTGTCTGCACGGTGCCCTTGCCCAGCATTCCCTTTTCAGACCGAAAACGAATCAAATCGAAACTAATCTCACAAAAACTAGCATATTATGGGGAAAAACGACAGCGACAACCCAAAGAGTGCAACGAAAAAGAAGACTGGCCCCAAGACTGGGCACTCGCGGAGTTATCCCCGGGGGGTCGGGTTAGATTTTCGAAAGCTTCCTGGATTGACACTGGTCTCCTACATCGATCACCATGGTGAGTACTGCAGCATGTAATGCTGTGGTATAGTTTACTTTGTCTGCATGTTTGATATACGGGTCGGATCACTGTGAAACAAACAAACGTGGGGTTTGGATTGTTTTCTTTGGCAAACACCACGAACATTTTTTGGGTGGGAACGACGAGAGACCGAGCCAAGCATTGAGTTCTTCCGTGTCTTTTTGTTTAGCAGCAGACCCAGCATTGAATTTCCCATTTATCAGAATTGCTGCAACTGGAGAAGAACAAGCACTTCGGTGCAAGCTGAAGCTGGTACGGATAACCAGCAGATGGCCGAATCGTCAAACTGCAAAGCAAAGCGCATCCTGAATTTTTTCCTAGGCTTCGTACCGCATTTTCCCCTCATATATTGCGGCAGGAACGGGGTAGTGTTTGATAGCAAGGTTATTCTTGGAGAGGCCTGGGCCGAAGTCAAAAAAAGAACAAATAACCGCAACGATCAACTCTGACTAAAATTGGACTTATTAATGAACGGAATGCAGTGTCTGACAGACTGTCTCACCTATATATTGTTTTGTTTTCTCGTTTTGATGATGTTGCCATACCTATTTCTTTCGACACAAATTAAAAAACAGGAGTCAAAGTCCGCCCGGAAGCCCCACCCTCGGAGCTGGCGGTCGCTGTAGCTCGGCACTTTGAACAAATGGAGGTCAACGAGGAAGACGTTATTGGCGGATTCCTCGAACGCCTCGAACAGGGGCCAACCGTCGCCACGGAATACTCCCGAAAGACCCAGCGGTACCCTGTGAAGCTACCCGGAAACGTTGTCGGAAACGGCAAGACCCCCACAAAGGGCAAGAAGGGCAAGGATGGAAAGAAGGATTCCAAGATGAACATCCACCAAAACGCGGCATCGATGAACTCGTCCCGCGTGAGCAATCGCAAGCGGACCAAGTGGGCAGCCCGGCCCGGCGAACAGGTCGCCGCCAAGGTCACGCGAACGGACGAGAATGGGTCCTGGATTCTGGCCTCGGTGCAGCGGTTTTACGTCGACAACGAAACCTACGACGTCCAGGACGAGGACGACACCTCGAAGCTTATCCGGTTGCCCTGGTCCCACGTCATGCGCCTCAGCACGGGCGCCGAGGGCTGCTTCCTCAAGGGGGCCGACTGCATGGCCATTTTCCCCGAGACTACGTCCTTCTACAAGTCAAAAGTGGCCAAGTCACCCGTATGGAAACTGGAGCACGGGGTCCCCTGCGTCAAGGAGATCGTCGTGCAGTTTGAAGACGATGAGGACGCGGTGACAGGAAAGACACCCAAGCGGAGGGTCCCTTCCCGATACGTCATTCCTGTACCTTCGGCCTACTTTTATGACGAGCATGAGGACGTCGACCTCTCGCCGCAGATCATGACAAACCGCGCCAAGTAAGCGATAGCAAATGGATTGTTTTTATCGTTGTGTGTGCACTCCGTACCTATGTCTATGCTTTTGGGTTCCATGTTTGCTCTCCATCGCATCTTAATGCAACACATGAACCAAAACACAATCGATTCAACGAAGGTATTCGAAGGCTGATGGATCTACAAACAGCACGACGATATGGGAATAAAATATCAGCAACAGGGAAATCAGGAATGGAACAGAATCAATGAGATGATAATCGCGGCGGCGGTGGCGGCAGCAAGGGAAGCTGTCGAGTTGTAAGGGTAGCATTAGAAAACAATAGCGAAAATGCAATACTGTAATATGACTAAAAGGACATTACTGTGGTATTCAAAACGACAGTCCTTTTCGTGTGTCTTGTGTAATTCGTTGATATTAACGTGTAACGAGATCTGTGACGGTGACCCGAGAACTATTTTATGGGAGCGCTCTTATATGCAATCAGCTAGACGTTTTGTCCTTTTTCTTCTTGTACGAAGCACCTCTCCAATATGTGATTCCGTTATCAAAGCCAGGAGCGTGATCTATGTCGATTCACAGACTCCATGGGCCATTCAGTCTGCAATACACATTTTCTTGGTGTGCCGTTTGCGGAGCGATATGTATTATTGAAGAGATGTCAGTGGGAGATATTAATGCGTTTATTCACTGGAAAATTAAATCGACGAATGGAGAATGGCTGCTACGTCAAAAGCAAAAGAAGTTGGTGCGAGTTACGATCAATCACCAGCATCGTAGGTTTTGGACAACAAACTGGAACGCACAAAGCTATAGCAACGCATGGTATGAATTCCTGCTCATACTGTCTTTCTACCATAGGGATTGGACACGGGACAGAGGAAGGTGATTTTCGAAGCGTTTGGGTGCCAAAGTTTTACATTGATTGTACTGTTGGTTAAGTTGCAGGGCCTGTCCACCGGTTGATTAAACGTGATGGTGAAGTGACTTGCATTGAGCTTGAATAGGATAGAACCTAGTCTTCATATATACACCGGAGAAACTCGGGACTCACATAGCGATATTACGACTAACGACTGCACTAACGTACACTCAATGATGGTATGAAGGCATTTTAGATGATGATTTACTTTGCCATACACCAACACATCACGATTCAATGGACTCTCCAAACACACTCTTACCGTAACGTTGTCCGACCACTACTACCACTTTGAAATGCAACTACTGCAGTTATTGTTAGGAAATAAGAAGTGTTTTGTTGGTATGTGAAGTCGTGGTTTGCTCATAGTGCGAGGTTTCTAATACAGTAACGAGTTAGATAATTCACATTACTCTTACAGCTGCATCGCAAGCTATGGTAGAGTGAGTACGTTCGAACTCTTATGATTCAAAGAGCAGAATAGAAAGACTCTGATAATAACGATAAATTGATGTGGTAATATCAATAGAGATCTGAACACTTGATATTTGTACCATAATTCAAATATATCCTCAGATAACATCAATAACACAAAATACTGGAAGTTTGTTTCGAGAACATATGTAGTAATGTTGGTATCAACAAAAGTTAAAGTGAACCAGCTGGCCTATGGTGGTCTTCGGAAATGCATACAATATTCGGAACTTGGAGTTTCGAAAAGGTTGTTCTCGGACCTTCAAGAGAGAACTAGACCCTGACCAGTTTTGTTTCGATCATCATTCCAGTAAGCTTAAGTGAGGAGTCGAAAGGCTCTTTGATGGTCAGAATAATTAAGAAGTTATCAGTCAGGTGAAAAGGCATCGTGAATCGAATAATAAAAACCGCTTTGTAAGTTTTTTGGCCGTCAAGTACGAGTACTATGCAACGATCACACGATGAAATATCAATAGTAACGTATGTTGTTTTATCTAGCGAAAATGATAATAATTTTTTTACACACTTAGATAATAATGTATTATGATGACGATTAATGAAGTCACTCTTTCTAAAGAGAACTTTCTTGAAGGTGTACGATGGACACTAAGTGAAGTACTAGTCGTACTCGTGTTCTTGCCTGCGACTTTTTAGATCCCACTAACGTAGTAATAGTACTGCAATATCATTGCCAAGACTGTCAATGAAATAGGTCGCAGGTCACGATTGCATTCGCCGTAATTAAACAACAATACTGCCGTAACATTTTCATGTATGTTTTCATATAGAAATTCATTAACGTGGTCGTTATGCGGTCCTTTTCTCCCAAAACGAATCAATCGATTGATTCATGCGCTTCATGTAAACCGGGGTTGTACGGTACGTTTCATCGCCGTCGGCGACGTGGCATATATATTATTTTATTTACCAGGATTGACATTTTCACTTGTGGAATCACTTACTCATGGTTCTGTATGTTGAATTTCAGTATGTAGCCGTACGTGCACCTCGAGAGTCATTCCCGCCGAAAGAAGACGCGGAACCGAAACTAAGGTCGCAAAAATTTTATGTGCGTGATTCACTTTCTTTCCTTCAGCGTTTTTAAGCTCACTCTTCCTAAATCTCAAAACATATCCGAATCTCTCACAATAAAATTCAAATTTTTGAGCAAACCAACGAGATACCAAACAAAATAGGAAAAATGAAATCAACAACCACAAAGCGTCAACTCTCGTCATCCACACCTAATACAACTACAATGAGTTTCCGACACGAAAGCAAAACAATGAAGACATTGAATCTTCTCCGCGGCGAACAACAGCCGTACGAAGTAACTCCCACCAACTCTGAAGACGAAGACGATGATTCTACCGATCAAAGCAATCGTGATGACGAAGAATTCAAGACTTTCCACGGCATCCAATCCCAAAATGATCATGACCATCATTCTGACTTGTACAGACCGCTTACACCCGAGGAAGCCGACGAGGACCAACTGGCAGAGTTTTTCACAGCTCTCGACTTCGATATATCTTTTGGAGCATTGCCTCTAACACAAGTCCAGTGCGAAACGGATGCAACCATCCACAACGATTCAAAGACATTAGAAGAACAACACACATCGAAACGACGACGTTTGTTAATCTCCTCGTATTCATGTGAAGAGGAAGGCGATGATGGAAGAGACTTAAATTTACAGAGAAAACGAAGGGCCCCAAGCATGAGTTCAAATCAGACCCAGAAATATCACGATTTTTTCTAGCCTGGCAATACCATCATTTTCCTTCTAAATCTCAATCAGACGCTAAAACAATTTTGTACAAAACCTTACTCTTTAAATAGCATGAAAAATTACAGAGACGATCCCGTGTCACTAACGATATGAAGTTAATACGATAAAAAATCCTAACAAACTCCTAATCATTGCTACACGAATACTCTTTAAACAGCGTGAAATGTACGAATGCTAAATGCTACGTCGATATGCTCGTAACCTATGAAATGTTATTAGTATGCTCCTCTTTACTGTATGATGAACGGTTGTTTACAATAAAGATTGAGGTTATGCACTAGCTACTCGTGATTGTCGTTGTTCAACGCACGCGCCTGAGGAATGAGCAGTAAATCAGGCTGCTCTGTTKGTAGCGAGTGCTGTCCTAGGGGTCTGATTATGGTTGATGAGTTGAGGTATGTTCCTTTGTTGCTCATAACCTGCAAAAGTTAACATGCTCCCTACTGCGTGTCAATACTTGGTTTACAATAGAGGAATGAGGTTATTCACCAGCTACTCGGGATTCAGCCTCACAATAGTAACTCCATCTTTTCGGGTCTCGTGAAAATACGAATACGAATACGACTAGACAGGAACATAGTACGAACAACCGTACGAATGTAATCTATTGCGGTATGTGCCCATGCATTTTTATGTTCATTGTCTTCCGTTCGTCCACTTTGCGCCATCAAGAAATACTCTTTCAGTTTGTTTGAATCCACTTTTCATGACTTGACGTAATATCCCACCGAAACAATAACGACAACGCGACGAAAACGACAAAATCATCCAAGGACCACAATCATACTCCAATACTGCTATTCTCAATATACATACCAGCGAAATAGAATCGCACTAAAACTGAGGCTATGGAAAAATGAATCCAGACGGGAAGAGAAACGTTACCTTCGACGAAGGACCGGACGATATTTTCTTCTCGATGCCAATTGAAAGCCCTGCGAAGCAGTCGAGGAGAAGTCGTTGTCGCAGGTGCCGATATACCACTGATCCATTTTGGTATACGCAACGAGAGCTCGAACAATTTCGCATGGAGTCCGAAGACGACAGAAGCTTCAAAAGATGGATACAAAAACAAAACCTCAAAAACCGAATCGAGGTCGCGTGGAGATCATCAACAATCCACAAAAGAACCAAAGGCCATAGAAAATACCGCAGTCAGCGTGGGCCGAAACAGAAATTGGCGTTCCGACACAAAGAGCAAAACATCATGTCGAAAGACGAGCGAATCCGCCGTGCCAACCAGCAATCACCAAGAACATCGATGCCGGCCCCCATTTATTGATGTCTTTTTTTAAAATATTCGGCCCCATCTCTCTTCTTTCCTTTTACGACAATAAGCTCACAACTAAACTCGAAAGTCGCTTCATTCTCATTGTTTACATTACTAAGGTACACATATTATTATTGTTATTTTTTTCCTGTCAGCCTGCATTGCGAGGGAATTTTTTTTTCTCGAACAACAAGGAGACAGCGTGTGGGAGGAAAATAATTTTCACCGAGATAGTTTCAGAGATGTTTGATGTCTATTGCGCAAGTAGGAAGCACAGTGCCGCTGCTCCAATCGCGACCGTTGCAAGCACGCCGCTTTGCTTCGAGGCAGCGCCGGAGGTTGGAGCCCTCGTGGGTGGAATGTACGTTGCCCTGGTGGGTTTGAGCGTCGGCGTGTTCTCGTTGGTGGGCTCGCTCTCCTTGGTCGGCGCGATGGTAGGAGCGACGGTGGGAACCGGCTCCGCGGTGGGTTGGGGAGAAACTGTCGGCGAGCCGCCGGTTTCCACGGGTCGCCCGGTGACCACAACGAGGCTCTCCCCCTGCACGCAGTCTTCTTTTTCACCGGAAATCATCAGGGGGGCATCGGTGGTGACGGTAACATTGGGTTCCTGGGAGAGGCAGACGGATTCGGTGGTGACCAGAACATCCTCGCAGCTCGAAGTCTCGATGGTCGCGTTCCCGCGGGCCTTGCTGTCGGCCGGGTCCGAGATCGATCCCGCGATCTTGCAGGAAGAGCCGTCGTTGCACGACAGGGTCGTAACGTCACCGTCCACGGAGAGCTTCGAGTTGTCCCTCGCAACGGTGATGACCCGGCTGCCTGCCTTTGCCCCGCTGGTTCCCGTGACCTCTAGGTTCACCTCGGAGCCCGAGAAAACCCCGACGGCCAGGTCTTTGTCCTGCTCGACGCCAAAGATGGCGTTGACCGAGGCTCCCGTGGAGGCCGTCATGGATTGAAAGTTGGTAAACCCCTCCTTGATCTGAACCGATTGCGAGCAGCACACGTCTACGGACTCGAGTTTGTCGGACGGGAACTGAATCAGTACGCCCGCGTTTTCGGCGACGGCCGCGATCTCTGGGATGAACTTGAAATAGATTTGCTTGTTGACCTCGTCGTAGCCGGTTTCGACCAGGTCCTGGGGTTCGGTTAGGATTTTGACCTTCGTTTCGCCGGGATCCGCCGGTTCGATCGTGTACATGGTCTTTGGGACCGTGATGTCGCCGATGCAGATCGACGGCAGGACCACCCCCACCGGATCGGTAGCATCGTAGTCGAAGGCGATCTGTCGGAACTCGGCGCTGGCGTTGTCTGCCGACGACAAGAGGGCCACAACGGCGGCCGCGAACGCGGCTCTGGATGTGTTGGTAGCGGTCATTGTAGTTGGAGAGACGTTCTTGTCTGTAGTGTTTCTGTGTTTTCGTATGGATTGGGGAAGCAAACCGCTTGCCCGGAACGAGTTTATTCTTTCAACCCTTTCGATCGAGTGGTGGTGTGTGTCACGGAAAACGGCAGGAGGAAGCGGCGTCGGGAACGGTATGCAGGAATAAATCCGAAACCGAGAAACCGGACACCGATCCGTTCTTCTGGCGAGCGAGATGTTTGGGGGCAAACCGAATTTTAGCGATGCCGCATGCCGTGCGCATGCCAGCTCGCGCATGCGCTGGGGGGAAACCGGACGTACGGTACGGTACCTCTCTTCGATTTTTGGTTCGTGCCTGCGCAAGAGCTCTGCGGGGATCGATCAAAAGCAGTCGAGGGAGTCGAGTTATCGTGCGTACTCTAGTCACGTGTCACTCGTACGATCTAATGTTTTGTATTCTAGATACGAGTCGTACGGTAGCATGGTTGAGTACTACTGGTACGAACTTTGTGTGAGCCTAAATGTACGGTAATCTTGAGATCACCGTCACGGAATCAATCATTCAATCATTCAATCATCCCCCCATCGATGAATTCTTTAGATCCTTTTCCTTGGCTACCGGTACAGAATCTGCACCCGAAAATAATAATGATTGCAAGAATTTTTGTTCTACTTCGAGCGTATCGACGACATTCTATCGAATACATTGCGATTGCGACTATTGGAAAGAGTAGAACACTGCAATATTTTTAATGAACAACAAAAAAATTATACGTCGAAAACCCCTGGGGCCTTTTTATTTTGTACAAAAGTAAAAAAGGGAAGGCGCCAAGCGGCCGATCGCGGTCGCCACGAAGCGAGGGATCGAACGACGAGAGGGCGCGCCACCGCGAAAGGGAGCCTCACCCAAGCGGGCAGGCCGAAACGGAACCAGTCCGTGCCGAAGGATGCCAGCCACKGTGCGGTGCGGTGCAGCACGGTACAACGCGGCGCGGCGCAGCGCCAAGAAATAAAGCGGATCAGACGTCCTCGGTCTTGACCAGCCGCAGGTAGGGGATCTCGGACGGGACCTCGCAGGTGTGGTAGTCCGGGTAGTTCGCATCGGCGTCCTCCTTGGAGACGGTGGGCAGCAAAAAGACGCTCCCCTTGTACTCGGTGGTCCGCTCCCCGTTGGACAGGGGAATGTCGGCGTGGTTGTTCGGCCAGTTGGCCGGGGTCGCGATGGACTTTTCGTAGCTGAGCTGGAGTGCCTTGACGCAGCGAACGATCTCGTCCGTGTTCCGGCCGACGCAGGCCGGGTAGTTGAGGGTGAGCATGAGCTTGTTCTCGGGGTTGATAATGAAGACGGCCCGGATTGTGAGGGGGAGGTCCTGGTCGTCGCTGGTTCCCGGATCGATCATCCCGTAGGCCGTGCTGATGGACCGGTCCGAGTCGCCAATGATGGGGAAGTTGACCTCGATGTCGTTCTCGCAGTGGGCGACGACGTCCCGGAGCCACTCCTCGTGGGACTTGACGGGGTCGACCGAGAGGGTGGCGACGAGGCAGTCCATTTCCTTGAGCTCGTCGTGCTTGAGGGCGAGGCGGCCGATCTCGGTGGTGCAGACGGCTGGGGGGAGGCAACGGAAACCGCAAGAGACGAACGAAACAAAAAAGGAATTCGTTAGGCGATCGGACAAGATGCAGACAGGCATCGCGCTGGCTACCACGGCGCTCGTTCGGGGTTGCTCTTCGCTGCATCTGCTTGTCTTGTTACTCACGGGTAAAGTCGGCGGGGTGCGAAAAGAGGATCGCCCACTTGCCCTCCTTCCACTCGTGGAAGCTCTCGATGGGCCCGTGCGTCGTCTCGGCGGAAAAGTCCGGGACGATGTTTCCGAGGCGGAGGCCGCCGTCGGTGGATCCCTCGGGGTAGAGGCTCATGTACATCTTGGTGCCGGACTCCATCGTGTCCATGGTGGAGGGCGGCGGCGAATCGGCAAAGGAAGGATGGGTCGACCCGTAGTTCCGGACCCGCGCCGAAGCCGGAAGGGTGGTGGTTCCGCTCGCAGTTCCGCTTGCGGCCATGGCCGGGAGACGGCCGAGCATCCGGGCGCGGGAGCTTGCGGAGCCGAGGCGGCGGAGGACTACCGATGAAAAGAGCATGGTGGTGGTGTGTGTTGTCGGTGAGATCGAAGAAACTACTGTGCTAGCTACTAATTTTGTTAGGGGCGGTGCAATAGGAACCGGAGTCTTTGTTATGTTGCTCTTTCCTCGACTCGCCTTCTAAACAGAACAAGGGTGTCAGTCCAAATGGAACACCCACCGAATCATCCCGAAAGATGCGTGCGATCTGTGCGTTTGGTGTCTTGCCGAAAATCCCACGGCATCTGTGCACCAGAAGGAAGGCGACAGATGCTGCTGACGGTGGTGTGCACCCGTTGCGTTGCGTTGCGTTCCCTGCGATGGTTGACCCGGTAGAGAACGATAGAGGAGGATCCCGTAGGAAGCCGGTTTCCGCAGAACACCGAGGCGTGTTGCCTTGGTGGTTCCTTGTCGCTGCAAAAGATTTTGGTGACACACGCGGTTCCTGCCCTTCGAATCGATTCACCTAAAAGCGAAAAAACTCCCATCCAAATCCGGAAGGCGGAAGGGGGTTGCCTCGAAACTATTCTTTACCGGATTTTCTTGATTTGTGACAATATTTCGTTCAAAATAGAGTAGTTTTTGATTTCCCGACCACCCTATGATCCACGTCTGGAATGCTTCGCAAGATATGTTCGGAAGAACCCGATCCGGATTCGTGGATTCTTCGCGGCAACATCGCCGACAGATGCCGCCGCTGCTTGCCCCGGGATCGGGAACCACCAACGAATCCATTGTCCCGGTCCGTCTCGGCAATCCTACACCTACGGTACTGTACTTACCGAATCGAACCGCTACGGTCACGTACGAAACGGCAATAGCACGAAAGCACGAGTTTGTTTCGGTGCGAGAATTTCCCATCGTGCGATGTGGAGGACGATGCTCGTGCATGTACATACCCGTACCTATCGAACTCTTCGCCAAGGGAGAATTTTGGTCGTCGCCCACGCACGACACGGATAGCAACAAGCCACGGATTCGAGGAACAACCCCGGCGGAAAGAGGTGGACCGAAGGAGACGGAGCCGGGGAGATTGCCAGAGACACATCGTCTAGTGTCCATCGGTCAACACAAGACTACCAGCCGTTTCGTGCCGCTTGGATCCATCGCGCCCAAAATCCCAGCCCAACACCAGCCCTAACGCCATGACCACCGACGGGGAGCCTCCCCCTTCCGCGGAACCCGGCGAGGCGCCGCCAGAGGCGGCAGCAGCAGCAACCGCAGCAGCGAAAGGAATCTCCCCCCGGCGGGAGCTGGCCCGGAACACCAGGCCCATCCCCTGCTACAGGGTGGACCAGCTCCCCCCCCGGTTCGGCTCGGACGACCTCTACGAGCGCATCCTGCCCACCGCCGTGGAGACCGGCTCCGCCGTTCTGGTCGAGCGCTTCTCCATCCCCCCGCGGTCGGCCCTGTCGTGGAGGGTCCCTTCCGGCCACCTGTGGCGGATCGTCTGCACCCACGGCCCGCAGGTGGCCGACATGAACTGCTGGGCGGAAGAACGGCCTCTCGGGAATCGCGAGCGCGAGCGCTTTTATTCGAGCAAGACGCGGCAGATCCACGCGACCCACCTGTCCACCGGCGACCGACTGTGGTCCTCCTTCCCATACCTGCGGCCGATGGCGACCATCACCCACGAGACGATCCAGTACGGCTTTGACGACGACGGGGCGGGGGTCCACGACGTCATCGGGAGCCGCTGCGATCCCTACACGCACCACTACATGACCTGCAAGGAGGTCGGCAGGGGCAGGGGCAGCGATTCCACAACCCCCGTAAACACCAAGACCGAGTGGTTCAACTGCACCTGCCACTCCAACCTGACCCGGCGGGCAATTGCCGACGGCCTGAAAGAGTCCGACGTCCACGACGTCCTCAACGTCTTTATGTGCACCGGCTTTACCAGGGACACCCACCAGTACTTTACCAAGCCGAGCCCGGTCGACGTGGGGGACTACATCGAGTTCCTGGCGGAGATCGACCTGCTGGTCAGCGCGTCGACCTGCCCCCAGGGGGACGTCAGCATTGCCTGCGGGGAAACCGCCGAGCCGGTGTGCTACCCGCTCGGGGTCGAGGTCTACCGGCTGAAGGATTCCGGCCTCCTGGAGGCCGAGGGGTGGAGGCCCAGCCCCGTCAGCGGCTATGGGGGCAACCACGGGCTGTAACGCCAACCGTGCACCAACCACGGGCCGCAGCGCAGCGCAGCGAGCAACGATTCGGAAGGGGTGGTGGTGGCCTGGCTTGCCGGCCAACGAGGGGACGCATGCCAACCGGCGTGGTAGTCCGTGGCAACGGAAGGCTACCAATGATGCAGAGAAATCCGGACCACGGAGTGATTCGACACGAACGCTCAAAGACGCACGACCGGAAGCCTGCCTCGCCGTGCGGAAAGGACCGGCAACTAGCTACTAGCAGTAATAGTAAGAAACAAAAAAAAAACACCCCGTGCGATTCTCGAAATCATTCTTCGTGCGTCTCCTTCCCTAATCGATTACAGTGTTTGGCAGAAAAAAACAAAACGTTATACCACGCCTAGGCCGATCCCCGTTTCAGGGCCGCCAGGATCTCGTCCCAGACGCCGTTCATGCCCTGGTTGGCGTTGACGGCCTTGACGATCCCGCTGGGTTCGTAGTGCTTCAGGATGGGGACCGTCTCGTTGTGGTAGCCCGCCAGTCGCTTCGTGAGGGCCTTGGCGGTGTCGTCGGGTCGCTGCATCAGGGCCTCGCCGGTGGCGTCGTCGGTCATGGACTCCGGGATCGGCTTGCCGGAGGCGTCGGTCTTCATCGACTTGGGGGGGGCGTACTTGACGTGGTACGATCGGCCCGACTTTTTGTGGATCCATCGACCCGTGATGCGCTCCTCGAGGACCGAGTCGGGGACCTCCAGCTCGATCACCTTGGTCACGCACGCGCCCTCCTCGGCGAGCATCTTGTCCAGGGCCTTGGTCTGGGCCAGGGTGCGGGGAAAGCCGTCGAGGATGAAGCCGTGCTTGCAGTCCTCCTCCTTGATGCGGTCGCGGATGATGCCCACGACGATCTCGTCGCTGACGAGGCCTCCCGAGGCCATGACCGCCTTGGCCTTCTTGCCGACCTCGGTTCCGGCGGAGACGGCGGCCCGGAGCATGTCGCCGGTGGAGAGGGCGGGGATGCCCAGGAGGTCCTCGATCTTGGGGCCGTGGGTTCCCTTTCCGGCACCGGGGGGTCCGCTGAGCGAGAGCAAGCCAGCCAGCATTGGTGTGCGGAGGATTCGGTTTCGGGGCGGGGCGGGGGATTTGGTTTGGCGTGTTTCGCACGCCGTGCGGATCGGTTCGAGGATTGTGGTTTGGTGGAGTTGGGGGTCGTTGGAATATCGAATCGAGTTGTCGTGTTGCAGTGTTGCAGACATGTGCGGTTTCCCATTCATCGCAAGCAAATAAATCCCAGTGCATCATTGCGGGGCAAGAAAAATAATTGGTTCCGATCGGTGCATTTTTGGTTCAGAGTTGGTCACATGGCGCAAGCCGGTTTTTTTTAAATAACAGAGTGGAGATCCATAGAAAAAACCATTCGAATGAGAACAAAAATCAAGAAAATCACAAAAGGATCCCAGACAAGAGACGCCATCATAAACAATGCATCGCAAAACGCGTATGTTGGGGCAGCAGAGAATCGCCCACGCGGTACGCAGCCTGTCGCGTGGTCAACGACAAAAGAGGGCGTCGATGAGGCGCACCAAGACTCACAACAAGATCATGATGTTGCGTGGCCAGTAGGTTCCGAACTTTTCTTCGGTTTCCTTGACGGCCTTGGCGGCGGATTTTCCGAAGAAATTCTGCGTCTTGTTGGATTCCTGCTGCTGCATGGCTGCAACGGCGGCGACCAATCCCGCCGTAGTGGCAAGGAGGGCCTTGTTGGCCTGGCTTCCGCTGCCTGGCTGGTGGACCGTGGAAGAAAGACGGGAGGCACCGAATCGGCTGCTGGTTGCGGCTCTGCGGCCGGCCATTCGAAGGGCGTTGCTTGCGGCTGTTGAGATCATCTTGTGTTCGTTGTCGTGGTCCTTGTTGCTTCTGGGATTGCGATTTCGTTGCGCTGCTGCGATGGTACGAGTAGGGGTTGGGAGACGGTTCACAAGCTCAGGATGCTAGCCAAAGACTCTACCGATGGTCATTAAAATAGCGGTACCACTACCATACGATACGATACCGTTATCTTCCAGTACGTACTCGTACCAGCACAAACGTACTACCGGTACGATGTTAGTAGGATGCCGAGAGAAGAAAACAAGAAGGAATGGAGTTGGAAGCGGTATGTTCGATACGGTGTACTATCCGTGTTCCACGTGGAAATGACTTTCAACGAAGTGATTTGGGGGGGAGGGGACGTTCAAGCTCTTTCGGGTTCATACTTTCAGTAATTCAGTAATGCATCCGTCTTCTAAGAAATTGAAACATCTGGTCGATCCGGATCGCTATCGTCGGCGGGAGCATAGTCTATTATTTCAGTGATTAATGCTTGTCGTTCTATATTAAATTTTGTTCTTTCAATATTCCAAGTACTATCTGTAAACAAATACCGTTTCCATTACTTATATTTTTATTATTCAAAGACCTTGAATAAACAAATATAATCTTGAATCTTAAACAGATTAGTCATGATAATTAGTATTATCCTTTTAGTGCAATCCCAGTTGAAACTTTACGAATTTTGGAAATGGATTGAGGAGGTAGAGGACATAAGCCAATCGACACGATTACTATCTTTCGAAATATGCATGACAGCACGATTTTCGACAATGTTCTCCTTTGAAACTATCATTTTCTTACGGGAATTATAATTGCTAATGTTTTGAATACAACTGAAAATCTAGAGCAATTATCATTAATTTCATGAGAGGACGGTATTCAATGCCAAACGCTAAATACAAACAAAACTTCACAAAAGAGAACGATACGATTCGATTCGATTCTGTAGCAAAAGAACATTACGATGGTGCTTCAAATTATTCACTTTCTTGAGACATTGTACAACACCGGATTGTCTCAGAGAAGAGAACGCCGGCAACATCGCCCTCCGGCAGACAATTGCTCGGTTGGTGAAAACCTGAGCCACATTATGGCCTACCTAGGTTTATGTGGTTTGCTAGAGATTGCGAAGCGAACAAGAGGGACGAAGGCCATCGCGGGGGGGAAAGATCTTAGCGTTGCCGCAGAGAAATTCTGGAAGGACATGCTCCTGGTTTCCATTTGGTGCGGGGACAACCCAAAGAGTTTCCGGGAACTCTTCCGGACCGCGATTACCTTATCGCCGAAGCAGAGGCACCACGGGCTATGCTCCCTCTTTTACAAAGACAACGACGATGACCACAACGACGACAAACTCCACCGTCGCAACACCAAGCAATACGACGAGGACGACACCAACATCACGCCATTCGGAGAGGCGTGCTGGAAATACGGGAGGAAGGAGACCATACAGCTCATCGAGAGCACCATTGCGGACTCTTCGTCTCGGGAGACAACGACGATGGAGACTGAGTGCACCCGGCGTGCGCTGATCCTGGCCGCAACGAACGAAAACATCAGCTTGGACGGCGTGTATTTCTTGCTCCGAAGAGACCCGAATCTGCTCCATGGCTGTACTATTCGTCGTCGTTCTGCAAAATCCATACCATGCCGCTTATCTGTTATAGCACCAACACCGAATTTCTTGGAGTGTGAACTATAATGAAAGCATTTTTTTTCCTTATCTACCATTACTGTTTGAGGATAGTGTTGGCTCGTAGTCTGTTTTGGCGAATTGCATTGTCTCTCGTTACAATTCCTCGATACCAGTAGGAAAGGTAACTAGTGATCGCTGATACTGTAATCATCAATACCAGATCGCATCTAGGATTGTGTTCCATGAAAGTACCTATTTGATTGCTGTCATGTACAACCAATTAGATTTTTCTAGAACGCATTGTTGAGGCTGTGAGGTAGTACAGATACCAGAATCACGAGTAGCTAGTGAAAAACCTCACTCTTTATTGTAGACCACATACATGTACACTAAGGAGCCTATCAACATTTCACAGGTTCAGAACCTTTTGCCACGTATCTGTTTCGCGACAAGTGTGTTAAACAGAACGACACACTACCAGAGAAATCAAAAAATGAGACATCACGCATTCATGTTACACTACAGAGCATACTACATTTCGAAAAAAAAAATGATGGTTCCAAATCTTCGGCTTTTAAATAAAAGGATGTTTAACAGAGACCATTACGATTATTTTAGCCTCTCCATATAGTTCAAGTACAATTATGGTATTGACTTCTTTGAAATTGTACCTTTTATTTAACGGTCCCTGGGTATGTGGATTTAACAATCGAATAAATCTTTTATTTACTGCTCTCGAAGAAATCTTTTAATTAGTCTTTTATTTAGCGCTCGAACATTGGAAATTCTCTTTTCGGCGATTTCAATTATTATCGATTGCATAATAGGGTCCTTAGTGTACGATAATACATGGTTTACAATAAAGAGTGAGGTTATTCACTAGCTACTCGTGATCGTGTTTTATCCTCACAGTCCTTGCCACTATCGATCATTCTAGTCATGGGCAAGAGAAATAATGCACAGTACGGTAGTTACCGTATCCTCACACGTTGAAGCATTGATTAAGTGTAAGTTTAAAAAGGCGATAGATTATCGATATCGAATCAACAATTAGCTTTGCTGGACTGTTTGAATCACCAAAAGCATTTTTGATGAGTTCTCGATTGTAGTAAAGCCACGGTCGATTTCGAACAATAAGACAGTGCATTACTCTTTACGGATTGCACAACATCCACTTCTTGTTTTTCTGAGTCGGTCGGCATCCATCCTGAATGTTTCCGACATGGATCGAACGAGGATAGCAGAAAAGATACGGTTTCGACTTTCTTCGGACCCGATGCGATCTGCTCATCTCATCCTTCCCCCCAAAAGAACCAAGGAGCCGTTTTCGACTCATCCAGATCGTTAATTCCTGACTCGTGCCGGAGGAACAGATGATCATTCTGCCAGCGGACACAGAAGACGAAATCGTCGGCGTGCTTTGCCATTTTCGAGAACGACGATGTCCGGATCTATTTTCGAGGAATCCCACCGGATGCAACATCGGCAATCGTTCTGAACCAGTCGCTCACAAAGGATACTTCTCCGACGTCAGATACACGACGCAAAGGATAGCAACAACAAGAAATGCAACGAAGGATGCCGGGAATTACGTTCCGTGCATAGAGGCAACGTATTTGTTCGATAAGGTTCTCGCACTGCGATTTCGAATCACGATGGGCCCCATTGTCCTAGCGACTCGTATCGACGGAAGCGAACACCGATGCTACACAAACTCTGTGACATATATTGATGAATTCCGCGGTGGATCCTTCCTCGCTGGCAACTTCAAAGACAGACACCAACAATCGTCGGTTTATTCCGCCTCGACCAGAGCAAACATCGAAGCGCTGCGGCTGCGCCTGGAAACGATTTGTGAAAGAGTGAACAGCAGCACCAGCACTAGCACCAATGCATCGCTCTTTGCTGTTCTATCTAGGCTACTGATGCTGCTAAACGAGCTACAAACGCGTGTGCTACTGCTGCTGCCTTCACCCGAGCCATCGAGATCGCTGCGACGGAACCCACCGCCGATGGCGCTGCCCCGCCTCTGGCTGGCTTCCGAGAAAATCTCCCATCTCGCGGCGATCCACCAGGAACGCGGTGGCGATGCTTCGGCCGTGGACGTGGCAATTCTTCTCGTGCGCTGCGCAGCGGTGGGCAGGTATCGGGAGGTGTTTTTGAATCCACTCCCCCCGGCGTCTCCCCGCTCCTTTTTTGCTGTGGGGGGCGGCGAGAGGGAATGGGTCCTAGTCAATCGGATTTGGAAGGCCACGGAACGCTGCTACCATCCCAGCTGTATGAAGCGGCCAAAATCGCGAAGAAACCATCCCACACACCACCAACAACAACAACGTCTCGTTTCTGAAACAACGAAACAACGTAGCGCTCCGTTGCCGATGCTTCGAGAGTGCGAACAAGAACTCGCCGGATTCTTTCATTCGCTCCCCTGGGTAAGACAAGGAAAGGTCACCGTGGTGCAGAAGAGCAAAAGAGACGACGGGAATAGTCACAAAGAAGGCGGGTTCGTGTTCGAGGTCTGCCTCGATCTCGAAGACAACAACAAAAACTACGACGACCAAAAACACCAACAACAACAAGATCCAACGACGGAGATCATTGACGACGACGCTTCCTACTCCCCCAGGTTCGCACGCCTCTGTCGCAAGCACGGGTCCCTAACCGCCTACCACGGAACACACATGGACCATGCCTGGTCGATTCTGAACAACGGCTTTTGCAGCATGTCCGACGACGAAAGCACCGGCGGTGGAAGACGACAGCGATTTGCCAAGAACGGGGCCGTGCTGGGGAGCGGGGTCTACCTGAGCACCTCCCGGAGGGTGGCCACATTTTTTGCCACCGCGGCTGCGAACCAAAGAAACGCCCCGAGAAGGGCCCTGGCGGAAGCCCTGTATCACGAATCGCTGGTGGAGCTGCTGCTGAGAGCGGCGCAAGCGCCGGGGGGAGAGGCCAGAGCCTCCCGTGGAATCCTCCGGGACGCCATCGGTGCCGTCGGAGAAAAGGCCTCCCTCCGCGACCGCTATGACGTGAACTGTTATCCGGTCTTTGAAGCCAAGATCGTTCGGCCACCCGAAGCGAGCGAAGTGGACAACCTCGGGGGAAAAGGGACGCTCCCGCCAAGCAACAACGATGCCACCACCATCGACCCCGGCTACCGACCGACCCGGCGGGACGGAACCTACTGCGTGGTTCCGGACGGGAGGGACGTCCGGATCACGAAGCTCCACCTGACGGTCGAGCTGGAATGCAAGCGGCGGGGGGACACGTGGTGGCACCACAGGGTCCTGCTCCTGCTGGTCTTCCGCCTGTCCTCTCTCGTCTCGGACCACCCCGTGCTCCTCGTCATCGCTGGCCTGGTGGTTTCCGTGGCGTGCCGGAATTTTTTCACCCGGCAAGAGACGATGGACTGAAAGGCATCTACCGTACACAATTCAACCTCCTACGCGGTTTGAGGAATGGATGCAAACCAATAAAACTCTATAGTGTTATTTTCGCCTACTACTGCGTGGTGCAGGCTTGTTTCGCGAGGGCGCACGCCGATTCCCAATTCTAGAAGGGAAGGCTTTCGATCGGTTTTCGTTCTGGTTGCCGTAGGGCGTGATTCTGCTTCGTTTCGTTCTCCGTTCGAGAGCAATGACTCTGCAAACAGGAATCGACGCAATATCCCATTAAAGTGCGGTCTGTTTCTCGCTCGCGACAAAAACGATGGCTTTTCCACGTCAAAAGCTCTATCCTTGTTCGATGCTTTGTTCTTTTGTTCCATCCCGGTGTGCCAAAATGCGTTTGGAGCCGCGATGGATTGATTCCTTTGTTTTTGGGTGGTGGACGGGTTCGTCGTGTGGGATGGAACGGAACGGAGCGGATTCGATCTGTTTGGGGTGAATTCGTTCTTCTAGCTTTGTTCTGTTAGAACCAGCAATCGGAGCCGACGATCCTAGATTCGATCGTCACGTGGTTCTGGTCGTCCCCGATGATCCGAATGTCCTCGTCCAGGTACAGGATTTTCTGCTGGGTCATCGTCGTCGTCGTCGTCGTCGTGGATGTGGTGGTGGTAGCCGTAGGGGCCGACGGCGGGGCGTTTGTCCTCCTCTTCCGGCCGTTGTTCCCCGGGTCCCCGCCGTCGCCCTCCAGGAGCGAGGCCATCGCGTCCGGCAGGCCCCTCAGCTGGATGGGAGCCTGCCGGAGGATTCCGGCCACCAGGCCGTCCCCTTGAAGGTTTGCGTGCTGGCCGTCCCCGTGTTCCCGGGATGGCACGGCAGCAGCATCATCGGTGCCGGCGGGCTTGGGCGGCGACACCACCTCTACCGCCCTCGGCAAACTGGAAACCCCCCACACGGTTGGGTCCCCCGGGGAGGACCCGGCGGCGTTGGTCGTCTTTTGGAGGATCGACGACTCGCTCGTTCCCAGGAGCCACGAGACGGCCGATCGGGGCCACTCGTCACCGGGGGGACGGGCTTCCGAACGGGGAGCGGGAGCCGCTCCACCGAGGAGGCCCTCTTCCAGGCGGTCCGCCCACCCCGGTCGCTTCCATTCGACGACGGTCCGGACGGTGTGGTCCTCGCTCGAGCACTCCCTCCCGATCCGGCCCAGCTTGGCCAGGGCAAAGGGCAGGAAGGGGCCCCGGTTGTTTCCCAGGGCTACCAGCGAGGGAACGTCCGTGTACACCAGGTTCCACTTGCCATCGAGGGAGGCCACGGCGGGGGKGTCGCTGTTGCTGTTGCTGTCGCCGTCGCCGTCGTGGTGGCTTTCTCTGGGGTTCGTTGTGCCGCCCTTGCCCCGGCTGCTTGCCCCCGGCGCTGTCCCGGCCAGGGAGAGGTAGAGCTGCCTCGTCAGCGGGTTGTTCCTGCCGTAGTAGGACCAGGCGGGTTCCTTGGTGGGGTTGAGCTCGGCCAGTCCCTCGACCAGAGCCGCCATCTCCCTTCTCTGCTCACGCGTGGACGCAAAGCCACGGCTCGTAGCACCGGACAGAGCGAGGGCGGCCCGCTTGAGTTCCTCCCGCTTTCGCTGCTGCTGTCGCCGCCCGGGGGACGAAGGCAACGCTCCGGAGCGCCCGGCCCCGTGCCCCACGGCACCGCCGCTCGGGACGGGAACGCAGTGTTCCCCGGTTTCCGCGGGGGGATCCGAGGGGGGATCCCTCAGGTTTCTTCGGATCGCGGCAAAGGACGAGGGCCTCCCGGTTCGGCCGCCGCTGCTTCCACCGTAGCTTTGGCTGCCGCTGCGTTTGCTCGTCGAAAATTTCCCCTTCCTGTGGCGCCTTGGTGCTCCGGCGTGCTTCGCGGTCCGTTCGCTCCGGTCCTTTCCCGGGGTTGTGCCGTGGTTTGGCTCTGTGCCCGCCCTCGCAACGCTGCTGCTTCCGCAAAAGCTACAACCCCCCGGGCCCCCGGAACGAATGGGCGCCGCAACAAAGGCTCCTTCCGTTACGAGCGGGTGACAGCCAGCAAGCGCAAACACCGTCCACCAAAGGATCGGCAGGGAGCGAGCGAGGAATCGTGCAAGGATGATGGGTCGCATCGCGAGGGTGTGTCGTGTTGTGTCGTGTGTACTGTGCTGTGACTGCCTGGCGGAGCCTCGAGGTGTTGTCTGTTGTCGATAGCTAGTTTTGCGTTGGTTGCCTTTTGCCTCGTCTCAACTTGCCTTCACTTTCCTTTCTCTGTCTTGCCTACTGTCCTACTGTTGCGGTTGGTGGAATCAATCGGTGTGCTTGTTTTTGTGGAACCAAACAGCTTTTCGCTTGTTTCTGTTTCTCCCAAAGAAAAGAATATTCAATATTCAATATTCCTTCTTTCGTGTGTCACCAGTTTTTCTCGGCATTTCGTTTGTGCCGTTGTGACAACGTATCCGAAAAGGAAGAACCGGAGAGGGATGCACAATGCACAACACTAGAACATTCAACTTTGCCCGCACGTGTACGTGTACCGTACTACTGGTACTGTTTGCGAGTATCTATCTATCAGCATGGAACCGTACGGTACGCTGCGTACGAACCGTACCAATTCCGTCCGTTGCGTCGAGCGCGTTCTTCTTCGTGACGCACGAGCTCCGTACGCACCGGAGGATGCCGCGGGCACGGTACGAACCCCGGCCCCCACCGTGCGTTTCGTACCATACTCTACGATCGCGCGGGAGGGCGCAAGATTGCAGGCGCAAGACACACTTGCGGGGATCGGAAGCAGGTGGAACACACGACGGACCGATCCGGATCGAGAATCGTACGAATGACAGACTAGAACGCGGCGCGCGTGCAACCAAGATTCGATTCGATTCAAATGGGGGGGCTCGTGAGAAAGCCAAAGCTCACTTTTCTTGTGTTTGCCCGAAGACAACACTTTTCTTCTGTTTGCCCAAAGATACAGTACGTACAATACTCGTACAGCAAACACGACAACATTGCCTTTATGTCCATACTCATCATTTCTTGAAGTAGGAGTAACGTGATAATTCGAATCCATGGAAGGACCGCACCATAGACTAGTGCGCAACAGCAACAGCCACAACAACAAGAGGGCGGTACAAAGACACAACGACACCCCACCGGCCGCGGATCAAGGGCAATCTTTGTCGCTCGCAATGCCGCATGGCACCCTTGGAAAGAGTTTGACCCGACCCAAGGGCTCCGGGGCCCGGTGGGCGAGAAGAAAACCCGAACCGGAAAGTGGCTGATCCGCGGGTCTTTTGTCACGGGCGATGTCTCGATGTGCCGCACCGGCGACACCTACCACCCGATGTAGTGATCCGACCGCCTCGGGCTTTTCTTTGGTGGCACTTCTCTCGCTGCAAGGTCGATGAATCCGAAAAAAATACCCCGGCACGGGACACTCCATCCGATTGAAACGCACTTTCTTTGTGGCCAGGATCGCAACCAGTATCGCGGCATGTGTTGGCAATAAACACCGTAGGAAAATCCCAGAACACCCACGCCGAGTGGCGGCACCACACGAAACGGTTTTGGTGTTTCGGGCGCATGCGGTGGCAGGGCTTTCGCAACGATTGGTCGTCCGCTGGCGTGGTTCCGACCCCTGTCCAGAGCGCGCTTGGTTCGGAATTTCGGTCTTTTTTCGGCGATCTTCGGGAGCAAGAGGTGGCGTGGAGTCTTTACGGAACAAAGAGGTCGGAACCGCCAAGCTACGGGCCAGACAAAATTCGAAACACCACTACCGGTTCCCGGGTTTGTAGTCGCTAGCTCGCAGTGAAACTCGTACGGTAGATTGTGGGTTGATTCCTTTATCGTAGCACATAGTATGCTCTGATCTAGGTGTGAAAAGCAACGAAAGTATTGGTAGTCGACAAGGTTTTTCAAAATTTGGTTTCGTTACTACTGCTTGCGATCTTTTTATCTTCAAATGTTGTCTAATGTTGACTTGATAAAATGTCTTTTATGTAGAAACTTGTACAATACTACTATGTATAAAACTAATGTGTGCGAAGAAGGAATCGCTAAATCTCGCATCTTCCGATTGTTGTGTGAGTAAGTGTCGAGCTCGTTTATCTCCCTTGGGCAATGCCCTCGGGACACGTGCACTGGATCTCGAAGGTGTACTCCACAATTCCGTAGTTCCCGTTCTCGTATTCCTGTGGGGCTCTGCAGCACTTGTCGATCGCCACCTCGTCGCTGTGCAGTCCCAAAACGGTTTCGTCCTTCTTCGAGGCGAAGTAGATGCTGACGAGGGCAAAGGGGTCGACGTTCGGGTACTCGTGGCAGCCCACCTCGATCTCGGGCGCCTCGGTGTTGCAGCCGGGGGTAAAGGGCATGCTCTCGCACACGGGGTCCATGAAGTGCTTGCCGACCTTCTTCACGTGCTTGACGTAGATGTCGGTGAAGTTGGCGAAGGGGCTGTCTACCTTAAACTTGACGGTCTTGGCCGAGGACATATCCTTGGGATCCTCGATGATGATGTCGTACAGGATGGGTTCGTTCTCGGGGATGGGGGCGGACGACTTGAGTAGCTTCACAACACCGTCCGGTCGGGATGGACAGGCGGTTGTGCTGGTCAGGGGCTTGATCGTTTCGTCGCATGCCGGGGGATGGACGACCTCGCAGATCTGGTCCAGGTCGTTCTTGTCCGGCAATGGGAGCGGACCGGAAGCGGGATCGAACTCATAGTTGTGCAACTCGGCGTATCCGTCGATGGTGAGAGACCCACCGACGATCATGCGACCGGAGTGGCCGTCGGCCTTGAATATGAGGTCGCCCCGGGGCATAATGATCGAACCTTGGAACTCATAGTATCCATCCATCGTGATGGTTCTGCGGGTGGGGAAGACCCAAGCAATACTGGAGGTCAGCGACGAGGGGAAGGTGTCCTTGCCGCAGATGGGAGCGTCGGTCGTCATGGCGTCGGCCGGATGGAAGCACATGGCGGGGACGTTGAAGTCACCGCTTCCTTTGACGATGATCATGATGGTCTTCCCGATCAATCCCTTCGAAAACACGACGCCTATAACATCGGAAGAAATCGGATCGATCTTGAAGATCTGGACGGGATTGTGGTCGGGTCCCGCATCGAAGGTCAACACATCGCCCTCAACGGTAGCTACACCGTTTGCGGGGAGGCCGGACCAATAGTTGGTCTTTTGCTTCAGCAGGGTGAGTTCCTTTCTCCACCGAGATAAATCCAGCTCGGGGTCCCTCTTGAAGTCGCCGTGCGTGTGCACATGGTTTTCTTCAAGGACGGTCATGTTGGTTCCGCACTCGACTCCGTTGAGGGTGCAGCCTCTTCCGTAGAGAAGATGGCAGGATCTGTGGCTGTTGTCGAACTCGTACATGATCATCTTGGATTCGGCAAACGATGCATCGATCTCGAGATCTCTTCCGACCTCGATGCACACGGTGTTCTCGAAGGGCTGGATGAGGGATCCGTGGATGGTCGCAGCCAATCGGCCGCACGCCCCCTCGTCCAGCTTCGCGTCCTTCATGAAGACACCACGGCCCTCGAATCCAGCCCCGCTCTTGCAATGGAAATTGCCACCGACCAAAACGGACAGGGAATTGTCGTGCCCGACCGTGAAGCCGCCGTCTCCGTAGATCGCATTGATCTGTGGGTAGGCCAGGGAATAGGAACCCTTTCCAGTTGACGCGGAAAGCCCGGCACCGAGGTTGGCGCAATCTCCGTAGTCGGTTTCGACATCGGGAAATTCCAGCAGGTTTTCCTCCTCTTCGCCGCTGTTCTTGGTGAGTTCGTCGATCACCTCGATCTCTCGATCGATCTCGGGGTTGCCGGCGCAGGCCTCCATCTGGCAGGCAATCATCTGATCGGAATCCTTGCACTGCTCGATGACAGCGTCGGGATCGGGGCATGCATAGACATCGAAAGCCTCAAAGACCTGTTCCTCGCACTTGTAGTCCTCGAAGGTAAGGCCCTCTTCGTAGGCTAGGAACGATTGGTCTTGCGTAACGCACCAGTTCTCGACGCAGTATTTGAAAGATGCCTCGATGCGGTCGTGGTCGGGGATCACGAGGGTTTGTCCGTCGGGAGCCATCCAGTCGTCCCTGGTGTCCTTCGTGGGGGTTCCCAGGAGACCCAGCGACGATTCGATGAATTCTCCTTCCTCCTCGCGCGGCAGGCAGATGAAGTAGGAAAGGATGCAGGACCATTCCGTGAAGGGACCGCTGCCCTCGATCCAGACGATATGGGAGGAGTAATACTTCTGGCCGTTTTCGTCGATGCCGGCAAGGTGCTTGAAGTTGATCTGGCTCCAGTCTGCAATAATCTGAGCACTGTAGTCTGAATGCATATCTCCGTACATGAATCCGTCGTCTGCGACGTTGCTAATATCCACCAGTTCCTGATCGACATAGAAGAGGACGGGACAATTTCCAATGAAACGGGACTTGGGGTCATATTCCGGGTTATCCGGGGACATGCGATCGAAGTTCGGGAAGGACACCTGGAAAGTAGGCACGGCGTTTGGGTTGGTTTCGTCGTACTGGTCCTTGATGTAATCAATGGCCAGATCGTTCGTAATGGATGCGCCGCCCCACGGTGTTTCGATGGAGACGAAATTTGCCTGGATATCAAACATGTGGTTCTTCATGAGGGTAAAGAGACCAACGGCTTGGCAATCGTAGTGGAGATCGTCGCAGGTGATGATGTGTGGATCCCCCCACATCCCACAGACGGCACCGGTGCACTCGTTGATGTGTTCGTTGAAGGTCATGGGAATTGGGGGTGACGAGCACAGTCCATCACTGACACCCAGCATCGAGTTGCCATTTTCGTCGACACCGGTTTCCCGTCCGGGGATGCACTGGGACCACAAACATTCGCCGTCCTCCGAATACTCATGGCAGTGGGCGTACCACCCCGTGCAGCAATCTCCGGGCCGGGGAAAGTTGGTGTCGAAGTCCCACAGGCAGCAATCGGTCTTGACTGTTGGATCGACTTCGCACTGGGCAAACCACCAGTTGCCCTCGCATTTGTACCCTTCGGCGCAGTCGTTGTTCTCGGTGTCGTAGCAGCGACTCCAAAGCGCCCGGTCCGTCTTTTGGTCCCGGTGGTCGCAGATCCCGGGGGGGTCCTCGAAGACCATCGGAACCTCGGTGTCGCAGAAGCCCCACTCGTTGCACTCAGATCCGGCGCAGCAATCTCCGACGTTTTCGCACTTGTTGTTCCACGAGACGCAACACTCGTGGTCCGCCGCGGGGTCCGGAAAACAGGCTGCGTAGTCCTGGTACTTGAGCTCACAGATGTATCCGGGGTCGCATTCCTTGTACTCGACGCCAATTTCGCGATTGTAGTTGGGAGACATAAAAGAGTGGTCGTAGTGGCAGCGGCCCCACTTGTTTCTCTGGGGCTCGTAATCTGGAGACAGACGGTAGATGGAACGAATACATAAATACATGAGAAAAAAAGCAGTTTGTCAGTCATCGTGTTCTACCCAGCTGTTGTGTCAAACCCTAATGAATGCTGTGTCATGCGAATGCTACCGCAACACAAACAAACAAGCAAGCAAGCAAACAAACCACCGCKGGACAATTGGCTTCGCTGTCGCTTACCAGCGCCGGGAATGTGTCCCCACCACATTAAGTTGCGAATGTCTTCGCTGAGATTCCAATAGTCGAACATCCCGTACCAGCGTTCACACTGCTGGTTTACATCGGAGGCCGTCTCGCCTGCCATGGAATTGACGAGATAAGATGCCGTAGTCCTGTTCTCCATCAGTCCGGTATTCTCGTTGTATATCTCATCAACCATGTAGCAACCCCAGTCCTTGATGGAAGAAAAAAAGTGTTCGTTGGGCCCGGGAGTGTTGCCGAGAGCGATGTCTTGCGAGAGGGGGTAACGGCCCTCTATGTCTTGATTGTTCACGCGCCGGACAGTAGCAACCATAAAGTCGCACCAGTCGTCGGGGTGGGTCGAAGCCCACGCGAACGGCCAGTTGTTCCAGTCCCCCTGGGAGTGGTCACAGTACAGAGCGGTCAATTGGCCGGGAATTGGATCGAAGGGCAGCGGGTCCCCGCAGTGCCAGAGTGCGTTCTCCATGGTTCGGAAAACGTAGACGTCACATTCGTTGGAATCGAAGGCCTGGACAGCCGTGGAGGCGAGGAGCAGGACCAGAGCGAGAAGGGCTTTCATCGCCATTGTTGTTTTGTTTCCTTGCTTGGTTTGAATGTCTACTGTACTTATTTGTTTTTTGGGTTGTGCGTCTTGTTCCAGAGCAGAAGATCCTGCAGGTCTTGTACGGGATTGTGATGTGTATAGAGAGTGATTTGGTGTGGTTGTTGAGGGTACTGTAGTTTCCCAGCTCTCTCTCTCTCTCTTTGCCTATCTATCTTCTATTATTATGAAAACAACCGTAGACGCTGCGTGGCCTAGAGCAGCGTTTTGCGCTTRCGCTTGAGTCCATATCCTTTTCCGTGCTGGTTTGCACGTAAAATTACTACCCAAAACAGCACAAAACAAAAAACTTCCTCCAGGGCCAGGACCCATGGCATGTATGGTGTACCAGCGGATGCGCCTCGGAACGGAACAGAGGCACTTTTTCAAGATCAAATGTCTATGACCGGATTCCATTACTGCAATGACCGCCGTATAAGTTCTTGGACTCCTTTTCAAAATATAAGCCCAGAAGTGAGAAAGTTCTTTGACGCGAGAGAACTTCAAAGAACTCATTCAAAACAGGCAAGAGTCATTATATCACGACTACAGCGCCACGATGGATACGACTAGTATTAAAGAATCAACAAGGTTGCTGTTTCGGGTTCGTTTTTTGAAATTACGAGCAGAGAAAGAAAAATTCTCATCATTACTCTTTATCATGATATTAATATTTGTCCCTTTCATACGCCATGTAAGGTAGAATCAACGATGAAAAAATGTATATATACGTGTACTTTGTTCCGAATTGAAAAAAAATATCATTCCGTAGATCAAGGCCATCTCAACTCACTATATACAAATAGTAATATTAGGCCTATCTAGCTTATGAAGTTAATCGTAGGTATGGAATGAATCATGACCGCAACTAGAACTGGCATTTACTGTGGTCATATTATTATGACCTCTTGCTGATGCCATTTGCTTCCAACTTTTCGGGAACACGCATTTCTCCAACCCTTTGGCCAACCCTTTCTGGTGTGAGAGACGACCAACCTGTCACAAGTTGGCTACCGTTTTTGGTGCACTGGACTATCATCTAAACTTTTGCACAAAAGCCAGTAGCCTTGAAAATGCTCACTGGCTCTGGACTTACCAAAGAAACAAAAAGAAACTTGTTTTTTGTGTACTAGAATCCATGTAAACTGCAGTATACCATTTTTTGCAAATAAATTAGTACCTTCTTGACGACAACCAAAAAAGGTGTTGGTTCTTGTGTTTAAATAGTACTAGTAGTACTACTACTACTCCTAGTAGTTCAGACAACAAAAAACTTCTTAAAGCAGCCATTCCAAGAATCCCAAGACTTTAGTTCACTGAATGCTGGTGCCATGCTGGTGCCATGCTGGTGGTCATTCTCAGAAGATTTTTTAAGAGTGCCCAACTTTTCCCAAGGCTAAAAATGAGTCATTGTTGCCATTGGTCATTACAAAATAAAAGACGAGAACACAATGCCTCCAAAGACTAAAAAATGAGTTATTGTCATCATTGGTCATTTGAAAATAAAAGAGAACCAAGTTACTCCCAGCAAGAAGAAGACTAAAAAAAGCCATTGTTGTCATCAGTCATTCCCAAATAAAAGAGAACCAAGTTACTCCGAAGAATACTCAAAAAATGAGCAAATAAATGTACACAAAATAACATGTACTGATGAATTAGAATGATGTTTACTAAAGTGAATTGTATTATGCCGTGCAGTCAATTGGGAACTAGTTTCTGTAGTACAGATTCTACTGATGAGGGGCTTCAAAACAGAACACATCATTGAAGTGGTAACTCATTAGTTCTGTTCTGATTCTGATTCTGTTAGAAGGTGATGTCATCAAGAATAGTGTGGGATGAGAGTGTCTCTCCCCCCCTGCTGCTGTCACTCCTGTAAGATCTGCTCCTGCTCATGTGACGCTGTTTATTAGTACAGTACTAGTACTCAATCCCTTCATTGTGTTCTGTTCTGGCAACATAAGCAAAGAGAAAGCAAAATAATCCCAAACCAATTTGCTTCACCACAATTGCAAACCACAAAAAAAATGAAAAGGGAGACAGTTTGTTCTAAAATTTTGTACCGTCTATGACACATTTATCAACCATGCTGGAGAAGAAAGGTTCATTCCACTTCAAACATTGGTGAGGAATGAATCTATAAAGTGCTAATTTCTATTGTTTAAAAATGTTGACTGGAGTGACACTCCAGTTTCTGAAAATGTGAAGGCCCATCTTCAAAAACAATATACCCCTGCTTGTATCAAATTAAGAAACAGATCATTCACAACTACAAGTTGGAAGAAGAGTTGAGGTCATATATTCTTTCATTCTTTCACCAAAATCTTGCATGGCTTTGACACAAGTGAAAGGAAAGGATGTTCMCCATTTGGGTGTATGCAGAGAATAAACTCAATGAAGTACCCAAAATGATCTGGTTGCAAACCACCACATTTTGCAATTGCAAATGGATTACTTACAGGTTATTACCCACATGTAGTAGTACTGGAACAGTTGAACAAAGTACTAGTAGAATTGGCTCAGGTAGTCACTTCAAGTATGGGTCATACTAGTGCAAGTGCAAAGAAAGCTAAGGGGAAAATCATGTTTTCAATGTTATTAGCACATGTTCTTCCAAGTGTCTTGTTGTTCACTGGTATTTCTCCTGAAGATCTTTATAAATAGGATACGTCACAAAAAGTGTTCGCAAGCAGTAGCGACCGCTCGCAACCTTTTTTTTTAAAATACACACCCTTTTTTTTTTCACGCGCCCTCTGAACCTC